TGCATTTATAATAGGTTTGTCAAAAATGATAATGGAAAATAATAAACTGCTTGTGATGCAACAATAAGCAGTAAACTGGAATGATTTTGAATGTGACTTTCAGAATTGGTAATACATATCCAACTAAAATGTCAGTCTGTTTTAATGATACCAAACAACCTGACACCGTTTCAATTTTTTTTCATCGATTCTCTTGTTTCATTTGTTCCACCGTTTGTTATAGAACATCCGATGTATGGCATTCAAGAAGGGAGGGTGACTTGAAACAACACGTGGTTCGTATGCACAGTACTCTGAAATTATCTGGAGGTGATCAATCAGACTGTTATTGCTGATCAAAATTTGGAACATTTATCACATCGCCGAGAGTAAGTGTTCAGTAGCGGATGTGTGGGTACCAAGCCACGCCCCCACGTTTTCAACAATCAATATTTTTGTAATTGCTTTTAAATTCGGCTAGCAGGTATCGTTAAATTATATTTTATGCATTAAAATACTGTTATAAGCAGAATTATAAAAAGCTGAGCGATGACAAATAAAAGTCGAAAACTATCAAATAGAAGCATCTCACATTCGTGTTTCGAATTTACCTGAGTTTGTTAAGTATTTGTTGCTTGGTAGGTAACCTCCATTTTAAAAACTACTTCTGTCCATACTGTATTGAGGTCTGTGTGAAACGTGTGTTAAAGAAGTTTTTGTGTACATACTATGTGTGTGTGAAATTTATGTATGTATGTATGTATGTATGTATGTATGTATGTATGTATGTATGTATGTATGTATGTATGTATGTATGTATGTATGTATGTATGTATGTATGTATGTATGTATGTATGTATGTATGTATGTATGTATGTATGTATGTATGTATGTATGTATGTATGTATGTATGTATGTATGTATGTATGTATGTATGTATGTATGTATGTATGTATGTATGTATGTATGTATGTATGTATGTATGTATGTATGTATGTATGTATGTATGTATGTATGTATGTATGTATGTATG